CTTTCTTTCAGACGTTTCATCACCGGGTGACACCTCCCTTCTTAGCTTTCGTTCTCCCCCCCCCTTTTTCTCCTTTAAAATTTCTTTTTAAACGGGAGTACAGGGATCCCCCCCTCCTCTTTCGCTGGGGGGGGGGGAAGAGACGTGCTTAGCTTCTTTTCATCATATCGATCGACAACTTACAATTTCAGCCGCTCTTTTTCTTTTATTCGTATTTTCGCTTCATCACTCAGGTGGCGTCTGGCGGCTCCGCTAAGCCCCATGCGGGGCCGCGGACGTGGCGAGGTTCATTGGGGCAAGAGGGGAGCCTCAATTTCCGACCTTCCAGTCGAGAAAGAGGCACCCCCTCGCGCCCCCCGAGTCGGAGCCCCTGTCTGGGGCTCGTCCGGGTCTCCGCTTGTGCGGATCCCCCCCTCTGCCGCGGGCGGGCGAAAACGCCCTCGGGAGCGTCCTGAAGTTGCGTCTGCCATTCGCGGAGACCAAACTGGAAGCCCTCTCTCTCTCTTGTGTTCTTGACCTCTCGCTCACGACCCTGAAACCCCCATTGCTCTCAAACGACATCCTCTATAGAACCTGCTTTCCCTCTTAAGCCCAGCTTGCTAACCCATATCCTACCCATTCTCTAGAACTGCGCAGCTAGAGTCTCTTTGGCACGTGTTCTTAGCTGGTCTGAGTCCATTTGCCATTCTTTTCCAATTTTCTCCCCATCCTTACCCCTTCCCTTGAAGTTTGGAGCCACGCAGTTGCAGCTAGGTAATTATAACCCAGAGCATCAACCACCATAACTGTGTTGTATTATTCTACCTTTAATTTCTTAGTCTTGTGTGCTGTGATTGTTGTATGTTATTGAGTGAAGTGTGTCAGTAAACTATTATTTTTATTAAGGAAGTTTGCCTCAGTCTTTCATTGGGAACCTCGGAAACAGTGCCATCCTCCGTAAACATAGACGGAAGAATCCCAATAAAAATAACTGTACCGATTGTTCCTCTCCAAGAGCAATTCGGCTAACACCATGGCTAGATGCTTTTGCTGACCCAGGAGGAATATTACAGAAAGCACTCTTAATTGATTCACACACCTTATATCTTCACCATTAAGTACTTGGAAGGATCTTTAAAATTGGCTTGAACTCCATTTATTGTTTGAATGATAAGCTCAGAATTGGCAGACAACTTGTAATGGCAATCCTTGATTCACCACGGACTTAATGATCACTTTGTAATTGTTTTTCAGTCATGCTTTGCTAAGTACTGCTTTGCACTTTATTTTAATCATCAATAAACAGTGTAATATTTTTAAAAAGACAAAAAATGTGTGAGCCGGAGGCTAAAAAACTGTGAGTTAGCTCCCGCTCACTCAGATTAGAGGGAATGCTGGTCTCAGAGGAAGGTCTTTCACATCACCTACTACCTGATCCTGTTAAATGGAGATGCCAGGGATTGAACCCGAGACTTTGGGCAGGCAAAGCAGATGCTCCGCTACTGAGCCACGGCCCCTTCTAGTATGGAGGTGGTCAGAATTGTTCAGGAATGGGTACTTAATAACAGAAAGAGGAAGGAAGCAGCATCTGTCCCATTCACAGTGCAGCCAAGATGCTTCCTAGCTGTCAAATCAGGTTGAATCCCTGGTATCTCTAGTTAGAAGATCTCAGGTAGCAGGTGACGGGGATGACCTTTCTCTGCTTGACACTCTGGGGAGCCACTGTCAGACAGAATAGATAATAAAGACCTAGATGGACCAAGGGTCTGAGTCAGTAGGAAGTAACTCCAAGTGTGCAACATCTAATGGGGAGAAAAACCTCAGGACTGCTAAAGGAAGACTTTCCACCTCCTGTGAGATGTCAAATTAGAACCTTGCAAGTCAGGATGACTGCAGGAGGCAGGGCTTGTGATGACCTAATCCAGACATTTCATTCTCGGTCAGGTTTCCCATCTCCCATGCAGCCACGGGCATCTGCCGGAGTTAACATAAGAACATAAGAGATGCCAATGCTGGATCAGGCCAAAGGCCCATCCAGTCCAACACTCTGTATCCCACAGTGGCCAAAAATACCAGGTGCCATCAGGAGGTCCAGCAGTGGGGCCAGGACATTAGAAGCCCTCCCACTGTTGATCCCCCCAATACGAAGATGACAGAGCATCACTTGCCCCAGAGTCCCTATCTATACCTTGTGGCTAATAGCCACTGATGGACCTCTGCTCCATATGCTTATCTAATTCCCTCTTGGAGCCGTCCATGCTTGTAGCCGCCACCACGTCCTGTGGCAGTGAATTCCAAGTGTTAATCACTCTTTGGGTGAAGAAGGACTTCCTTTTATCCATTCTAACCCGACCGCTCAGCAATTTCATGGAGTGCCCATGAGTTCATTCCCCACTGAATGCTCTAGTTGTGAGACATTTGAGTCTGCCACCAGGGGTAGGAAAATCTATGTTTCATCTTCCCTAAAGGAATCCAGAAAGTCCTCAGAGGTGAAGCCTATGGAAAATGAACACGGAAACCACAGGGATGCGTGTAAATAACCAAAGAGGATTCCCCCCCCCCAGACAAATTTGTTCCCTAGTCAGGAATGCACAATTCATGGTACAGCAGGATTCAGATATGCAGCGGAGACTCGTGGGATTGGAAAGGGTGCCGGAGACCTCCAATTAGGGTTGCCAGTCCCCAGGTCCCAGCAGGGGTTTCCCTGCTTTGGGGGGCTTCTGCCTGCCCCATCCCCAAACAGCCATTTCTGGGTGCAACATCCCTGATATGATGACATCACCCGGAAGTGATGTCATCACATCGGGAACGTCATGCTCAACACTCTGGTTTGTGGGCAAAGGTATAGGTAAAGGTTAAGGTTCTCTTGCTTGAAAGCCAGTCGAGTCCGACTCTAGGGTTGCGGTGCTCATCTCCGTTTCAAAGCCGAACATAAGAACATAAGAGATGCCAATGTTGGATCAGGCCAAAGGCCCATCCAGTCCAACACTCTGTATCACACAGTGGCCAGAAATACCAGTGCCATCAGGAGGTCCACCAGTGGGGCCAGGACATTAGAAGCCATCCCACTGTTGACCCCCCCAAGCACCAAGATGACAGAGCATCACTTGCCCCAGAGTCCCTATCTATACCTTGTGGCTAATAGCCACTGATGGACCTCTGCTCCATATGCTTATCTAATTCCCTTTTGAAGCCGTCTATGCTTGTAGCTGCCACCACTTCCTGTGGCAGTGAATTCCAAGTGTTAATCACTCTTTGGGTGAAGAAGTACTTCCTTTTATCCGTTCTAACCCGACCGCTCAGCAATTTCATGGAGTGCCCATGAGTTCTTGTATTGTGAGAAAGGGAGAAAAGTACCTCTTTCTCTACCTGCTCTTTCCAATGCATAATCTTATAAACCTCAATCATGTCACCCCTCAGTCGTCGTTTCTCCAAGCTAAAGAGCCCTAAGCGCCTTAACCTTTCCTCATAGGGAAAGTGTTCCAACCCTTTTATCATTCGAGTTGCCCTTTTCTGCACTTTTCCCAAAGCTATAATATCCTTTTTAAGGTGTGGTGACCAGAATTGTACACAGTATTCCAGATGAGGTCGCACCATTGATTTATATAGCGGCATTATGATATTGGCTGATCTGTTTACAATAACCTTCCTAATAATCCCCGAAGAGCCAGTGCTGTCCGAAGACGTTTCCGTGGTCATGTGGCCGGCATGACTAAAGACCAAGGCGCACGGGAACGCTGTTACCTTCCCACCAAAGTGGTACCTATTTATCTACTTGCAGTTTCTTGCTTTCGAACTGCTAGGTTGGCAGGAGCTGGAACTAGAGACGGGAGCTCACTCCATCATGCGGCAACCCGGGTCTCGAACTGCTGAACTACTGACCTTCCGCAGCCTGCAGTTCAGCGTCTTAACCACTTGAGCCACCACAGCTTTTGTGGGCAAAACTCTATGGTAAATTTGGCCTAAGACCATAGAGTTATGCCCTTAAACCAGAGTGTTGCCACACAATGTCGCCGACATGATAACGTCACTTTCGGGTGGCACTATCATATCGGCAATGTCCTGGAATGCCCCCCAAATCCTTCACTGCACCTGGCAACCCTACCTCCAGTGAGGGAGAGCAAACATACTCCATAGGTAATTGGTTTCCTTTTTGGACCCCTGTGACTATTAGGAAGTTTCTCTTCCCTCCTGTGACTTAAGGATTGGAAACCACTGTCCTGTAACTTAAGATCATTCAATCTGATCTTGCCCCCCGGAGGAGGACAGAACAACTTTTTGCTCTCGTCCATATGCCAACCAAGCCAAAGGGAAGCCACACGGATGCATGGCACCATAAATCTACCCTTTATGCTGTCCCGCTGGTACTGTAAAGACACGCCAAGTCGCAACGCACAGGTATCAGGCTGCATTCAGTTTGGAGAGTCACATACCCTGCAGACTGTCCCCACAGTTCTACCACAACAGTACATTCTCTTTTTGACATGCAGAAAAGGACTAGACCACTCGACTCACGTGCGCAAGGCGATCAAATCTGGCAAAGAGTTCGTTCAGCATCCGGACCAACTCCTGGGCCGATAATGTCGTGGAGAGGTTAGTGAATCCTTTCACATCTGCAAAAAGAATACTGTAGACACAAGGGGAAAGGGAATTGGTACCTTGGGTTGTTACAGATGACTATCAGCACAATCGATGCAAACGCTCGATGCTATATACGAAAAAGGTGCCACCTTTTTGGTCAGCGATGAACGACTGGCGACCTGTTTGCTGTTCCCCTACCCTACCACCAGACCACCTCATCCGAGGCAGTGTTACCAATCTCCAGGTGAGGTAGGGTTGCCTGGTCCCCCCTGGCAGCCAGCAGGAGATGGGGACTGGGCTTACCAGGAGCAGTGAGTTTCATCCAATGTTTCAGCGATGTGCCCACGTGACTTCCAACACGACCCAGAAGTGATGTAGACATGTGTCAGACTGGGGCCATCAATAATGGGTACATAGTTGGCACTTGATGATGTATCTTGCTTAAGACCTGAATGACCTATAACCTGTAACATTTTACTGTAACCTTTTCCCATGATTTACCTCTTTCTGCCTGCTTGCAGTTTCTAAACTTTGCCCTTGCCTGCCATTGCATTCCTGAGGAGGGGAGTGTTTGCGAGTTGGGAGTAGGGAGGCCACTCTGTAATCTTCCAAGAGGCCCCGTAGACATTGTACTCATGAGAAATGTCCTTGGAGAAGAGTCTGTGTCTGGCTAGGTAGCGGCTGTATATCTTTCAGGGCCACTGTAGTAATGCTGACGTTGAATGTATGGAACTTGGGGTTGTAACTATACCTTGCGTTTCCCGCCATGCAAATCAGTCCTAACAAAACATTTGGACCCATAGCATATCATATCTCTAAATAAAACATACACTAAAGAAAGTGCATGTAGAGAGTGATTTGACTGGTTACCTGACAACATGTCGGGGACATTGGGGTGACTCTCTGGTTTTTGGACAAAAACTCTATGGTGGAAGTCACTTAGGCATGTCACTGAAACATCGGATGAAACTCCCTTTTTTGTGGTAATTCCGCCCTGCCAGCCAGCTGATCAGCAGTGGAGAGGTGCGGCTTGGGAGTGGGGAACTCCCGCCCCCACTGGGGGTGGGGGAGTCTGGCATCTCTAAGGTGGGCTTGCCAGCCTGGAGGTGGGCCTAGAGTTCTCCTGGATTTACGACTGATTACCAGACACAGAGATCAATTCCCCTGGAGGAAACGGCAGCTTCAGATGGTGGACCTTTGTGGCATCACCTCTTCTAGGGCAGCCCTTCCCACCCACCCCCCAACCTCTTTTGAGTCTGCAGCCATCTTTGGAATTCTGACACTGGGTGGTGGGTGCACAACCACAAAATGGCTGCTACGAGAGGTAGAACCGACCACAAAACCTCAGGGATTGTGAGATGATGCCCAGCTCTAATTGTCACTCTTCAACGTTTCAGGAAGATGCTCTGTTCCTGAAGGTCTCTATGCACATAAAGTGGGAGCGATGGTAGAAAAAGCACAGGTTCTAGCTGATGCGAGGTGGGCTACCATAAGTGGATGGGACAACGAGTAGGCGACCATCTGAGGTCCGCATGTGGTTCACGGAAGGACACGGTCCTTCATTCCAGGTTCTTGTTTCTTCAACTACATTCAATAAGATGCTTTGTCTTGGCTAAATCAGGGTCACAGGCAGAGGTCATTTTGAGGGGGATCGCGGGGAATCGCAGTTCCCCCGGGTGAGGTACGGGGGGGCACATGACGAAGCCCCGCCCCCTGCTTCCGGACGCCCCACTTCCGGCCCTCATTCAGCCAGGAGGAGGCAGGAGAAGAGGGAGGGTAAGTTGCTTCCTCCCTGCCTCTCCCCACCCCTGCCTGCCTGGGGCCAAGGAGGGCCTTCGTGAGGCTTCCTTGCACTCCCGCCGGCCTTGCAGGTCCACCGCCGGGCCCCTCATGGGGCTCGGCAGTGGAGCTGCCAGGCCAGCGGTGGCGGCCGGGACCATTGGGGGCGGGGTGTGTGGCCTTATGACACACTTCCGGTGATGTCAGGGGGTGTGGCCTTGTGACACACTTCCAGTGATGTCAGGGGGCGTGGCATATGCTAATGGGTTATGTTAATGAGTTCCCCTAGCTCTTTTTCTACGAAACGACCCCTGGTCACAGGAAAAGGAAAATCTATTCAAACTCAATGGAGAGGGAAAAGCTTATTTACTTCACTGGCCCTTATTTACTTTGCCGAGAAAGCTTTGTTTCTTAGCCCAATGCTAGGTTTTTCCCACGTACCTTATTAAGGGGAGGCTCATTTTTCAACTACTTCTACAATAGCCGTTTGATTACCTGCAATGTCTCGTTTTGTAAGCAACTAGCAAAACAGCCCTTAAAAGCTAGGTCGTGATGCCCAGGGCAAGGAGATGATCGAGATAATAGGACACCTTGGGAATAACAATGCATCTTGTTAAGGGAGGGCACGGCCAACAGATGCAGCTCGGCACTTATAACTGCACATGGGCTCATTCAAAACAAATGGGACTTGCCGTAAATACCTGTGTGTTTGATGGAAGCCTGTTCAGACATGCCTCCGGGAGCATCAATCCACTGTGCGAGACTTGGGGCTTGAGGAAGGATCCATTTGGCTAGTACATCCAGTATGGGTTGTGCAGGAAACTATTTTTTTTTTTGCATACCAGCTGGTTAGGCTTCCCAATTGCCCAAGTCAGTAAGGAATTCCCCACCCCCAGCCCTTAATGTCTTGCCCTTGAGAAATTGAAAACGGCCTCCATTATGATGCTCTAGGACAGGGATGTCAAACTCATTTGTTATGAGGGCCGGATCTGACATAAAGGAGACCTTGGTGGGCTGGGCCATGTGTGTCATAAATGTAATGCCAGGTAGCAGAAGAATAAACTTTATAAAGAACACAAACAATGAAAGATCCTTCAAAACTTTAAACAAAACTTGCTTAAAACGTTAGCACTGAGGAGACTCAGCTAATGGAGGCGAAGAAAGGCTTGCCTTTGTCTCCTGTGTGATTGACGTAGCCTGGCCAGGAAGCAAGCTCTGGCTTGTTCCCTATCTCCCCTGGAAAGAGGAGAGGGAGGAGCCTCAGCCAGTGCAGGGAACAGAAGCTTGCCTATCTGTCCTGTGCGACTGAGAGAGTCAGGTAAAGCAAGCTGCGACACAGCAGCAGAACTGGAGGAAGAAGCAGGAGACAGCTGGTTCCTTGTAGGCTGGATAGGAGCCCTCTGAGGGCCTGATCCGGTCCACGGGCCACATGTTTGACACCCCGGCTCTAGAAAGTTTCCCTAGTCTCAATGCTCTTTACCACAGACATCACATTCTCCCTAAATGACACCTTCTCCAGGCATCATCCTCCAAATCTCCCAGCATTTGCCTAGGCCCTACTTGCAGTTGGGAGCCCTCCTTGCAATTCTCCCAGGTAAGCCAAGTCCTTTCATTATCAGCAAGTGGGTGAGGCTCTATGCCAAGGATGGACTGGCCCTTTATCTTACTGAGAAAGTTCCTGAAGGGCTGCTCCCCCAAAACAGGTTAGCCTAATAACCATCATCATAATCACCAGTGCCTCAGTCAAGTTGCCAACGCTGGCATGGGGAATTCCTGGATACCTGAGGGGCAGGACCTGGAGAAGGACTTCTGTTCCTTCTAGAGTCTGCCCTCCAAAGCTGCCATTTTGCCCGGAGGAACTGACCTGCATACTCTGGAGATCAGTTGCAACTCCAGAAAAATTACAGGCTCCTCCTGGAGGTTAGTAATCCTGGTGCAGACCAAAGCTGACCAGACCTTTCTGGTCCACCAGCACCACAAGAACCATTATGGCTCAGCTTGCTCCAAGACTGTTTCCATGTCTTTGTCTCCTGTTAGAAGGAGCAAGATGGAGGACCATGAGAAACCATGTGAAGGGGAAACAGTTAGGGAATCTCACCCCACTCTTCCAAAAATCTCCTCCTCCAACATCTGATGAATGCTCAGGGACTTGAAATAAGAACATAAGAGAAGCCATGTTGGATCAGACCAGTGGCCCATCCAGTCTAACACTGTGTCACTCAGTGGCCTAAACCCAGGTGACATCAGGAGGTCCACCAGTGGGGCCAGAACTCCAGAATGACCTCCCACTGTTGCCCCTCTCAAGCACCAAGAAGAACACAGAGCATCACTGCCCCAGACAGAATGTTCCATCTATGCCTTGTGGCTAATAGCCACTGATGGACCTCTGCTCCATATGTTTATCCGATCCCCTCTTGGAGCTGTCTGTGCTTGTAGCCGCCACCACTCCCTGCGGCAATGAATCCTATGTGTTAATTACTCTTTGGGTGAAGAAATACTTCCTTTGATCTGTTCTCAGCCTACTGCTCATTAATTTCACTGAGTGCCAATGAGTTCTTGTATTGTAAGAAAGGGAGGAGAGTACTTCTCTACCTGCTCTATCCCATGCATAATCTTGTGAACCTCTATCATGTCAACCCTCAGCCCTCGTTCCTCCAAGCTAAAGAGCCTTAACCTCTTTAACCTTTCTTCATAGGGAAGTTGTTCCATCCCCTTGATCATTGTAGTTGCCCTTTTTTTTTTACACCTTTCCCAATCCTATAATATCTTTTTTGAGGTGTGGTGACCAGAACTATACACAGTATTCCAAATGAGGCCGCTCTATCGGTTTACACAAGGGAATTGTGATACTGGCTGATCCGTTTTCCGTTCCCTTCTTAATAACCCCGAGTGTTGCGTTTGCCTTTTTTTATTGCAGTCGCACACCGAGTTGACATTTTCAGTGAGATCTCTGATTGCCCTCCTGCCCCCAAAGAAGGATGTTTTTGGTTTGGCAAGTCACAAGATTCCTAGCACATTTTGATTTTCTCCTTAAGCTGACCTCATTTTTAATGCTTCCGGTCCTTCTTTTAGTCCATTGCCATTGCTGTAGAGTCCTGCTGGTGTTTACGGGGGTTTGACTGCCTTATTGTCATTGATCCGAATGCTGTGCACCACCTTGGCTACAATTTGCGAAGAGTCATGATTTAAGTTCTTTAAGTCCATAGAATCACAGAGTTGGAAGGAAGGGTCCATACAGGCCATCTGGTTCAACCCCCCTGTTCAATGCAGGATTAGCCTAGAGCATCAAATGCAAACAAATGAGATGCACAAGTCTGGTGCAAAGACATCTTGAAATCTCGAGCACTTTGCCAATGAGAGGAACTGAGCTGGCCGGAGACCCTGGATGCCAAGCACTGGTGCCCAGCAAGCCTCCAAGAGGCACCATCCTCACCCAAGAGAATGTGAGGCTCTTGAATCCCCTGCACTACTTTGCTTCATGGACAGCGGCCAGGAAGGAGGCTCTTGAATCCCCTGCACTACTTTGCTTCAAGGACAGCGGCCAGGAAGGAGCAGAACTTCCTGTCGGGTCGGGTTAGAATGGATAAAAGGAAGTACTTCTTCATCCAAAGAGTGATTAACACATGGAATTCACTGCCACAGGAGGTGGTGGTAGTGGACAGGAGGTGGTGGCGGTGGACAGCTTCAAGAGGGAATTAGATAAGCACAAGAAAGGGGACCCGCGGAAATCGCGGGGGCGGGAGAAGGGGGGGGGGCTCGAGAGCGGATCGTCTTTCTTGGTGACTTACTTGAGAGGAGACCTTCCCAGGATTCGGCTGCCGAACTCTTCGCTGCTGCGCCCCATCCGAAGCCCCCTCCTCTCTCCCTATTCAGAAGCAAGCAGTTCCGGTCCCGCCGCAAAGAAGCACCTCCCTGCCGAGTCGAGAGCAGCGGCCGGACATTTTGGGGGGCCCCCCACTGGACTTGGGCCCGGCTGCCCTCAGCGGTGCCCCATAAACGCCCGTCGTCGTCGTCCTCCTCCCCTCCCTTCCCTGCCGGCGGACGGAGACCCAGCGGCCGAGCGTGGCCCGGCCCTCCTCCTCCCTCCATCAGCATCGCCCTCACCGCCTCGGCCTAGTCAGGGGCAGCGCCGCCTCTTTCTCCGGGGGAACTGAATGCGCGCTCACCGCCTCAGCCCCCCCCTACGGTTCCCGCCCGCCGGCCGTATCAGGAGACTGATGAAGGGCCGGGGACACTGCGGCCCGGGCGGGGGAGGCGATGCCGTCAGAGGACAGGAAGCCGGCGTTGAGTAGAGAAAGCTAAGGTGTGTTGAGGGGGAGGGAAAGAACGCGCTGCAAACTCCAGCCCTCGTTCCAAGAGCGTCCCCTGCGCATGCGCAGGGGACGCTCTTTTTTACTTTTAGCAAATTAAGGCCCCCCCAATATTTTTTTCCACACTTTAAGATTTTTGTGCAGACGTGGGGACCTCCCCATGTGCACACAAACATCTCCCTCCCCCCCAGGGCCCCCCGATGTGCGGATTTAAGTATCCGCACAGACGGGGCCACTTTGGTATTAGATATATAGATATGGAGCAGAGGTCCATCAGTAGCTATTAGCCACAAGGTATAGATAGGGACTCTGGGGCAAGTGATGCTCTGTCTTCTTGGTGCTTGGGGGGGGGGTCAACAGTGGGAGGGCTTCTAGTGTCCTGGCCTCACTGGTGGACCTCCTGATGGCACCTGGTATTTTTGGCCACTGTGTGACAGAGTGTTGGACTGGATGGGCCTTTGGCCTGATCCAACATTGGCATCTCTTATGTTCTTATGTTCTTAACTGTGTTTGAAAAGAGTTCGCTGATTCTGAGATGCACATTTTAGCATTCTCAGTTCTTTCCTTTTACTTTCATTTCCCCATAACTGCCGGGTTGTAGTTAGGGTTGCAACTCTGGCTTAGAAAATTCCTGCAGCTTGGGGAAGGAGCCAAGGGTGGGCAGACGCTGGAGAGGTGAGGGAGACCAACTGTGATGTCACTCTAGCTTCTGTTTTTCCTAAACATTATGGCAGGGATGTTGAACTCTCTTCTTATGAGGGCCAGATCTGACATAAATGAGACCTTGTTGGGTCGGGCCATGTGTGTCATAAAATGTAATGCCAGGTAGTGGAGATATAAACTTTATAAAGGACAAACACAAAGATTTTTTAAAAAACTTTAAATAAAACATGCTTAAAACATTAGCACTGAGGAGCCTTAGCCAATGGAGGGGCAGAAAGGCTTGTCTCCTGTGTGACTGAGGCAGCTTGGCCAGGAAGCAAGCTCTGGCTCATTCCCTCCTTCCTCCTGGAAGGAGGAAAGGGAAGAGCCTCAGCCAGTGCAGGGAACAGAAGCTTGCCTATCTGTCCTGTGCAACTGAGAGAGTCTGGCAAAGCAAGCTGTGACACAGCAGCAGAACCGGAGAAAGAAGCAGGAGACAGCCAGTTCTTTGCAGGCTGGATAGAAACCCTCCGAGGGCCTGATCCGGCCCACGGGCTTCATGTTTGACACCCCTGCTCTATGATATATCATAAAGTCTGCCTTACAAAGCTGCCACTTCTTCCAGAGAGAACTCGAAATATTACCTTGAGATCGGTAACACTCTATTGTAGTGTTTTGGAGGCTCCTTGCTTGTTGCCTGAATGAACACAATTCTATTAAAATAGTTGTGACTGTATTACTGCATTCACAGTTTTTGCATTTTGTGAAGGAACGCTTAGTAACAGGTCCCAGGAGTAATGAAAATGGCTGCCTATTGTACTACACTGCCTATTTATGCAGTAGAGCTGGAGCTGCCTGCACCAGACAGATAACAGCCTAATCCTAATCATATTTACTTGGAAGTAAATCCTACTTATTCCAATGGGGCTCACTGGGATTGCAATCGGTGTGGACGGTGCGAGAAACTGGCATATCAATATTCACAGGACTGGAGGCGGGGGTCAGAAATGAGTCCCCAGTTTCCACCAAAAAGAAGCAAGCAAGAATCCAAAGCCGGCTGACAGCAGAGCGGTCACCAAGCTCTTCTGATGAATTTGACAAAACTGTGTGAAACGCTCGTCTGCTAACGGGAGAGAAAAGGACGAACCATCTTCCAAACATTGCAAATCAGTGATGGATGAACTGATCAAACGATGGCACCGAGAAACCCCTGGCAGAGGAGGAGATCGTTAAAGTAGCAGGGGGGAAAAAAATCCGAAGAGCAAACTCACCTGACATTCTCGTAGCGGTGAATATAGATCTTGTGGAACTGATGCTGCAAGTGCTCATCCTCCACGTTCGTCATGTCGTTAATCATTTCGAGCACGACGAATCGAGGTAACACGGAAAGAACCAGCCGCTCCTGGGAGAAAGAGACAGAGAGGGGAAGGAGAGGAATGTGGCTAGGCTTGAAAGATGCCCACTCCCGCTGCCCATGACCACTGCCCACTGCTACTTAGCTGGATGGCTGGAGGATACTGTCTGGCGAAATGGGTGTGTGGGTGATCACCATTCCCATGTGGTGATGTAACTTCCAGCACAAGACGGAATTGATGTCATGGCAGTCCCATGATGGCAATGTGATGAGGTCACTTCCAGGTCACGCCAGAAGTTGCATCGTCACATGGAGCTCTTCCCTGTACTCTTGGAAAATAGTTCCTTAGTGTTCTTCTCAAAGGTGGAGATAGGGATGCTCGCTTCCTAACGGAGGCAGAGTGTCCCATGCCCCCAGGTCCCGCACCTCCACCACTGATCAGCTGGCCTGCGGGGGGATTTACCAGGAGCAGGAGGGAGGCCCAGGCTACATCACTGGTGATGTGGCAATGTCACTTACAGTGTTCCCTCTAAGCTGAGTAAGTGTGAGCTAGCTCACAGTTTTTAAGCCTCTGGCTCACACATTTTTATCTCAGCTCAGGAAAGACGGCTCCAAAGCAAACTAATTTATGCATGAGCCAATTCGCTCGCTCACAGCTTTAATGCCAGACGCTCACAAAGTAGAATTTTTGCTCACAAGACTCCACAGCTTAGAGGGAACACTGGTCACAGCATGCACTGGAAGTGAAGTCATCACATTGGCAATGTCACGGTGACACTCTGGTATCTGGGCCAAAACTCTATGGCAGAAGCCCTTTTTACCACAGAATTTTGGCTCAGATCTCACAGCATCACCACGACATCACAATGCGATGATGTCACTTCAGGTACATGCCAGGACGGATGTCGTCACATCACCAGCGACATAGCCTGAGCCTCCTGCCCACTCCTGGTAAGTCCACCCTCTCCCCACCAGTTGCCGGGAGGTACCTGGAAACCCTAAGTGCAGAGGAAGAGTCAAAGAGAACCCTTTGATTTCTCATAGGTAAAGGTAAAGGTTTCCTTGCTCGAAAACCTATCGAGTCCGACTCTAGGGTTGCGGTGCTCATCTCCGTTTCCAAGCCGAAGAGCCAGCGCTGTCCAAAGACGTTTCCGTGGTCATGACTAAACACCAAGGCACACAGAACGCTGTTACCTTCCCACTGAAGTGGTACCTATTTATCTACTTGCAATTTCTTGCTTTCGAACTGCTAGGTTGGCAGGAGCTGGAACTGGAGACGGGAGCTCACTCTGTCTTGCGGCACCCAGGTCTCGAACTGCTGAACTACTGACCTTCCACAGCCTGCAGTTCAGCGTCTTAACCACTTGAGCCACCGCAGCTCCTTGATTTCACATAAGCAAATATAAAATCCTGTAATGCAAAACACTTAGATTTGCATTCCTACATCGCATTAAAAAAATCTATTTAACTGCAATCTGATACATTTTAATCATAAAGCAACCAATTAATACTCCAGCGTGTTCAATAAATAAAGCTGAAAACATTTTCGGGGTTTCAGGATTTTCAGATTTTTGCCTTGGGGGAACTAGGATCATCATTTTCTCAGACTAAACTTTCTCTTTGTGCCATGCTAATCTTCTCTGTATCGTTCCAATTTTAGTATCTGTGCTGCCGAAGCGAGCACATATAATACTGATTTATTGATGGGGAAATACGCTGAAAAAATACCCGCATAATGGGTGGAAAATTCAATGTGAAGAAACCGAAAATTATGTGAAAATAAAGAATTACCAGTTCGGTTTGCACCAGGGCAGTGCGTTATAATATCAGCATATAAAAGAACATATTTACACAATCACCCAAAAAAAAGTCAAAGAGACAGAAACGTGATTTAAATCAGTCACGTAAAGCCCGCTGTTCCTATCGGTGGTTTAAATCAATTATTTAAATTGCTTTGATTCCAATCAACCTGCCCTGAACGTGACCGGGACTGGCCTGTTAGTCTCTTTCGAAACCTTTGCACCGCTTGCACTGCTTTAGACACAACCTGATGCATTCCATCTATGGTACGGGGTGGTGATGCTATTTCCCTCTATCTCGTCAGCAACCTGATGAGAATCTGTCTGAGAGATGATGAAATACGTTGGGGCAAGCGAAGAAGGGCTGCGGCAGCTCTTCTAATCTGCTTATCGCCCAGTTTCAGAGGATGCTTTGAGGAATGGGATAAGAGGAGCTCGAGGGACACCGCATGCGTGCTGAAATCAAAGAACCCTCCGTAGGGGTGGATGAAGTGAAGGACATGGAAGCGGTGGAGTTGCTTGTCCTGATGAACAAGGACAGTCTCCAGGAAAAAAAATAAAGGAAAAATAAGGCCACGTCTTTCTTAGAGCTGAGCCCTATCTGCCCCCTGGCCTTTTTTCCAGGGGACTTAGCCATGTTAGTCTGTTGCTGCAAAATAGTAAAAAGCCCAGTGTGGCGTCCTTGCTTATTGGGGAGATGGTTTTACCTTGAAAACACTCTCTGTGTACATAAACTTGGTAGATTTCTGCTGCCACCAGGAATTTAAAATTCCAAATCTCTGTCTTTTGGTAGAATGACCTAGGGTCTGGGCACTTCAGAGGACTATGTGGCCCTGAGGAAGGACTATTCTGATCACTGGGATAAGTTTAAACAAAAAATGATTTATTTAATAAAGAACAAAATAGGTTTCTGGTTATTTTGAACTGTTGCTGAAGAAAGGAACTTGTAAATATAACTGGCAAAGCTTGGCATCACAGTCTCTCAAACTCCAAAACTCCACTCCGACAGGCATAGACACTCAGTCTAATCTCTCATATATATAACCACACAGGCTAAACTCTTTTGTTTTATTCACACAGAACAGACTCAAACTCTCATAGTCGCACAGACTAAACTGTTTGTCCTATTCACACAGAATAGACTCAAAACCTCCCATAGTCACACAGACCATAGTCTCTCTTTCAACTTCACACACGAATCCTCTCAGAGACACCTCTCCTTCCACACTCTCAGTCATCAGGCAATCACATCACACTTGTCTCCCTCCATCACTCTCCTTACACTTTTTTGTAATCATTTTTGTAATCATCTTCAGGGATCCTGGAACACCTCCTCGCTCTGCACTCATCCTATTTTCCAGTCACAAGCAGAGAGCTGAGTTTTCAGTGGACTTTTCTTCTAATCATTGACCCATTTCCACCTATCATCTGGTTGCTTCATCCAACCTATCAGTCAACTGTGGCCCCATTGGCGGATACTTAAATCCACAAATTGGGGTCACGTTGACAGAAGGAAGATTTTTCTCCAAACTTGGGGGAACCAAGTCTGGGCTTGTTCCTTCCTAACAGTGCAGCATAGCACAATCAATGTTTTGCACGTGCATATAACCCAACTAGTTCTAATCCCCCCCCCCCGGTTGTGGTTGCGCTGCTTAGCAGATAGATAAATAGATAGTTAAATCAGTCAGAAATCATATACACCAGTGATAAATAAATGCTGTGATGTGTTTTTTTAAAATCCTATCACTTGTTGTTTGTCTAAGTACTCACTGACATTTACGGCTGCCAATCTGTTTGGATTGACAGCATTTTTGTCCATGCATTTTTTAAAAAACACCTGTTCAGTGGGTGTTCTACTTGTTCATAACTGAACTGAACAGACCCCATTATCGGCTCCCATCTGATTGTCACCATCAAACTCAGTAAGTTCAGCTGTGTAATACAGGAGTCCCCAGGCCTTTTCAGCCTGCAGGCACCTTCAGAATTCTGACACAGTGTGGTGGGTGCAACCACAAAATGACCTAATAGTCCTTAAAAGTACAAGTCTCTCTTCAGATTGATGCGGTCACCAGCTCATGGTGCAGAGAAGAGTTTCTAGAAGACAACTTGCAATAGACGGCATGAGCTCAGGACTAGCTGTAGTGCGAACCAAAGGAGCGGCGACAGCACACCTAGGTTGCTTTGCCGTTTCTTAGGGCTTCATCAGGCCGCTTTTCTTTAGTGATGGAGCTCAATCCAGCTCTGGCAAGATTCAAAATGACATGAAGTCTACAAGTATGTTCCAAGTAGCTAGGAAGCAGGCTCAGGTCACTATTCAACTGGTGCAGTTGTCATTTATGCAGGGTGGCAAAACTATTTGTTATGTGCAGAGGTTGATTTGGGGGAATCGCGGGGGATCGCACATGACGAAGCCCCACCCCCTGCTTCCAGCCCTCATTTAGCCAGGAGGAGGTAGGAGAAGAGGGAGGGTAAGTTGCTTCCTCCCCGCCTCTCCCCACCCCTGCCTGCCTGGGGCTAGGGAGGGCCTTGGCAGGGCTTCCTCACACTCCCGCCGGCCTTGCAGGTCCACCGCTGGGCCCCCAACACTTCCGTTGATGTCAGGGGGTGTGGCCTTATGACACACTTCCAGTGATGTCAGGGGGTGTGGCATATGCTAATGAGTTATGCTAATGAGTTCCCCTAGCTCTTTTTCTACGAAACGACCCCTAGTTATGTGTATTAATTTTGGTTGTAAGCAGACCTTACAGAGAACTTAGAGTAGAACTACACTAGAGTAGAACTACACTATTAGAGTTCTAGTACTACCCTACACTACTAGAGTAGAACTACTCTACTAGAACTACCACTACACTACTAGAGTAGAACTACATTACTACAGTAGAACTAAACTAGAGTAGAACTACACTAGAGTCGTCTCTAGTGTGATTTGTGCAGCGCAACAGATGATTCTGTTTATTTGTTTGTATAACTGCATTCGCTGTATTTCCATTTTTGTGTGTTTGTTAACCACCTGGAGGTTGGCAACCCTACATGTGACATCACTTCCAGAAACACCGGGAAGTGCTGTCATGACATCAAGGGTGCACTCTAGGAGTTCCCGAAAACTCTGCTCCTGTCCCTTTCCTGTGCTACATTCCAAGCCATCCTCAAGGGTCTCCTGACCAAGACAGACAGCTCTGGGTTGGGAAATTCCTGGAGATGTTGAGGGTGGAGCCTGCGGAGATCAGGGTTAGGGAGGGAAGGGATCTT